GACTCGCTCAATACTATCCAGGATGTTCTCTCCTCCGAGGTAAACTTGTCCCCCTTGGGGCAGCTTATCGAAGATATTCAGTCTAGCTTGCGGGATCACCGGAGGGATTGCTTTAGTTTTGTTCGCCGTGAGGCCAATGGTGTAGCTCATTGTTTAGCTAAATTTGCTGTTAACTGTTCGCACCCATGTGAGTGGGTCGAGGTGCCCCCTGATTTTATTCAGGACGCCCTTGATGTCGATAGTTGTACTCGAGGTCAGGCTTTTCGCCCCCCTCGTCCTTCTACTTTGTTATTATGAGTATTCTCTCCTCGTACGCGAGGATTTTCAAAAATAAAAAATGAAAAAAAATAAAATAACTTGAAACAGCCACTTCCACATCACAGCTTGTTTGGCGTCAATCATCATGTTTCTCCATTAGTCTTTTATAAATTAATTTCTTTTTACTAGAGCTAAGCTACGACGTAGCGTAGCTATGAATACATAAATCCTTTAATATTGCTAATTCTATTTATCTATGCATGTTGAGTGCTTATTACCGTTTTTAATACTTTCAATTAATTGGCCACTAATTGCATTATTGGAAGAATTGGGTTAAAAATGAAAGGAGAAGCCTAATAAAAAACCTCTTGTAACAAGTATCATAAATTACATAATCGACTCAAAAGATTAGGTTGTGATTTGTGTAGTCTTTAATATTTTTCATAAATTTTAATGGATTCTTAGCCATCTAAATCCATAACTAGGAATATAGTGGGTTCACGGTACATAACACAACTAATATAACTTGAAAGAGAGTATTGGTGAGTAAGGGAAAACGATTACTATCAACATGTTTGTTAAATTATGAATAACAAGCTAGAAGGATTTGAGTGAGATTAGCTAGGTGAAATCGGTGTCCTAATGTTTAATCATCTTTATTTTCATATATTACATTGTTTACTTACTCTTAATTTACTTGCTTAATTATATTTTCGTCATCATAATTCTTTTATTGTTTAATTCAAATATAATTAAAAATAAATCACTCTAGTAATTAATAGATTAACTCGGAACAATATTATCCTCTTGCAATTACACATATCATCCACCCTAGAGGGCCTAGAAGAAACAATAGTATAAAAAAGCAGAATGAGAGAGACAAATCAACCCTGAAATCCCTGGATGCAAAAGAATGGGTGAAATAATTATGACCTTATCAACTTGTCCATATCCTACGTATACATGCTTCATCTTCAACTCAAAATAACTTGAAATAAGCACTTCCACATCACAGCTTTTATCGCTTATTTCCACAACATCACCAAGATCTCCAAATATCCAAAATCCACTCAACGCAGAGCCAAAGCCAACACAAGCAGGCTTTTGATGGGGCAATTGTCCCTAAT